TTAAGATACATTGTGGCTTTTCCCCTTTTGTTTGAGTTTGTTTGGGGTTTTTTTATTCTTTCATTTGTTTGGGTTTTTTTTAAGAATTTAAAGAAGCCATATTCTGACCATTTGAAATAAAAAGAGGCTTTTCAAGTGTAAATACCAGTTACTAGTAGCATGATTCTGTGAGAATTAGATCTCATTTTGTAAACAGCCATGACAGCTGAATTGAGGGGGCCTGGCTTTCTGCCTTCACCAGTCATCTGGCTGAGCTTCTGCACTGCAGTCCTTGCCCTGGGATTCCAAGTAGTAACTCCCAGAGATGACTAAAATAAAATACCTTTGTTTACATGCTAGCTGTATACTTTCTTTAAGATTAACTACTGAAAAAGCAACCATTTCCCTTTTTACTTAGATAATACTTAGGCATAAATAAATTGCTCCCCCCATTATGTGCTGCTGTTGTACATAATCCCCCATTCAGGAGGCAGAGAGGTGGTGATCCTCAGCCTCTAAGGTAGGAGTAGCAATAAGGAAAGGAAGTTTCTTACATAAACCTTCTGCCTGGTCTGAAGTACTCCCATTCCTCAAGATACTAATGAGATTTTACATACCCATCAGGTGGATGTGCTGGAATCTCAGTTCTCACAGCTGCTGCAGCAGATAAACGCCACGCGAGACTTTGAGAGCATACGTCTGGCTCACGATCATTTCTTAAGCAACCTGCTGGCTCAGTCTTTCATCCTCCTAAAACCTGTAAGCCAGTCTTTTTTGTTCACCTTTTTCTACAAATTCTCCAGCTGTCCTGAGAAACAGATTTGAACAGATATGACAAACCATCTCTTTTATAACAGATGAGTGATAATCTTCTGCAGAGCATAGACTACAATACTAGGAATAAAGCAAGTATAAACTAGAACAGATAATTGAATTAAGATCACTTCATTTGTGGTTTGTGAGTGTGGAGGCTGCATTCCTGGCAGCATCATTAAATCAAGATTATTCCAGTGTTCAGTTAACCTTATTAACTTAAATTTTGTTGCTGTATTTTTCTCCCAGGCAATTTTATTAAAGAAGTACTAATTAGCATAGTGCTGGGAACTTGTATTCCTGAGGGACTCATTCTAAAATGCATTAGATTAGAAAAAAATCCCTCTCTGATTTATACTTTAAAGGATAAAAAGAGTTGAGGAGTTCCTGAATGGACTTTAAGGGTGATTTTGTTGTTGTTTTAATAAAAATGTTAACCAGTGTTGCTGGTACTTTCACTAAACATGCAGTCACTCCCAAAGAAAGCTGGTGCCAGTGAAACCCCAGGACAGGGCAGATCTTGTTTATGAGGCTGTAGCATAAAGGGGGAAGAACACTAATTATCCAGCCTGGAACTCAGAATTGTTCCAGTGGTTCTGTCTGTGAGGCATTTGGCACTACTGAGTGCCAAGTTACCTTGACCAGCTGATACAAAAGAAATTCCAAGGCTTGTGAACAGCGAAGCCAAGGCCTTGCAGAACAGCTCCTGCTCTTCTTTCTTCCTTCTCCATGCTGAAGCCACAGGGATGGCCTGCTGGTTGGACAGGGAAGCCAGATTTCAACTTCAGCACCTGTGTGGATGGCTCTGCCTATTGCTGTTTCCCAAGTAATGTCTGCAAAAGGTTGGGGGTGAGGGGGTAGATACAGCATAACATTTAAGTCCTTTTCCATAGAAAACCTTACAAAAATGCTATAGCTGTTTCAACATCTTCCTTACTGATTGAACAGCACTGTGTCAGCAACATCTTGATTATGAATGCTGTAACTTTTCAGGTACTAGGAACAGCCTTCTCTGGTTTCTTATTGTTTAAACTAGAATCTTGTACTTTTTATCCCACACAGGTTTTCCACTGCTTAAATGAAATTCTGGATCTTTGCCATAGTTTTTGTTCTCTGGTCAGTCAGAATCTGGGCCCATTAGATGAACGGGGAGCTGCACAACTCAGCATTTTGGTGAAGGTGAATCTATGTCTATTTGGTCTGTTCTCCCATGCAAACATTTACACCTAAGCAATCATCTTGGCTTTAACAGCTGTAAAACAGGAGTAAGTTTAAGCTGAGACTGTCTGTACAAGTGCTTGCCATGATTTCAGTTGATCAGCTGTGCGAGTTGAAAATTCTGTGTGCGCAGAGAGGAGGAGGGTGGGCAGATAGGCAGAAATAATCCGATTGGAATATAAGGGAGGCAGATACCAGCCTGTGCCCCTGCCCACTTAGGGCTGCCTGACACGTAGTGATGCCCAGGGCTGACAGCTTACCTTGCACTGCACTGCCAGCACTTCTCCTGCAGGGATTCTTTTCTTCAGGCTGTGAAAGGATTGTTGAAAGGCTGCTTGCTTTGTCTCTTGAGAGTGCCCAGAACCGACTTCTTCTCATTGGTAGGGATTCAGTCGTCAGTCATCACTGCTCTTCAAGATTCTCTCCAGTGTTCGCAACCATCAGATAAACTCTGATTTAGCTCAGCTGCTCCTGCGCTTGGATTATAACAAGTACTACACCCAGGCTGGAGGAACCTTGGGCAGGTAGGAATATCTTCAGGGTGGCTTGTGGCATTATCCTCAGGTACTTGAAGTACAAAGTGATCTAAATGATCCTAAGTAATTTTTATTGATTATGCGAGCCAAAATTAGTAGAAGCAAAGTGTTGATAAATACTATGAGAGAAGAGTAACAAGGCAGCATGAGTTAATGTTTGGTGTTCTAATGCTCTCGTTTGTTTTGGCATGAACTAGCTGCTGGCTCTTATTGGCTGAAAAATTAAAACATGGGTTGATAAAGGGAGTTCCTTTCAACATGTAATTAATATTGTACCTTTCCCTTGCAGTTTCGGGGTTTAAGCGCCAAGATCTTTTCTTCAGGCTGTGACCAACACCACACCAAGAAGTGAAGCCTGATGCTCTGGGAACACCTGCACTCAACTGAATTTTTCTTTGTAGCTTGGCACTTGCCTGGTGAATGACTTTTGGAAGGAACTGGCAGGGAGTGCCACTTATGCGAGGCTGCCCAGTTACTGCAGAAAGCTACTCCATTTTCTGAACTAGTAAAAGCCTGCTTTCCGCAGCCCTGGGTGTGGGGAGGGAGCCTGTGCTGCTTCAGCAATTGAAAGAGCAACAGGAATACGTTGTCTTGACTCTTCAGCTGAACTTTGATGATTTGCAAGCTGGAGTATAAAGGGAGTAGTCTATTGTTCTTGACTATGAGTGAAGTTTTGACTCTATTCAGAAGTTCCATTTGTGCAGGAAACTGATGTACAGCACCAATTCCTGCCAGTCACACACACCTAGAGGTAAAGGAAACAGTGGCAGCAGCAGTTTGGGGTGAGGGGGTGGGAAGCAGG